GATTACTTATCAATATCCTTGATAAACAATTAATGTAACAAAGCTGACTGTTCGTGTTAGTGATGTAAGAAAGTTGACTATTCGTTTTAGTGATTGATCTAACAAAGTGACTATTCGTTTTAGTGATGTAACAAAGTTGACTCTTTCGTTTTAGTGATCTAACAAAGTTTGACTATTCGTTTTAGTGATGTAACAAAGTTGACTATTCGTTTTAGTGATGTAACAAAGTTGACTCTTTCGTTTTAGTGATGTAACAAAGTTGACTGTTTAGATTAACTGTAGCAAAAGTTACTGTATTGTCACGGTGTAACACAGTCTTACATGTTTGTGTAAGCTATAGTCTGTCTCTAATCGATACCAATAACAAATGGCGCTAATAAAAAATCAAATTACAAACCATCGTTAATAGTCTCATGACGAAAATATCCCCATTAACTCTAATCTTCATCAGTGATTATAATAATTATCTCTTAGAATTAACACTCAATCGGAGTATTGTTACTTCCGATTTCTGAAAATGGGCTTCCGAACGTAGACTTTTCCCGACAGTAGACTTTTCCCGACAGTAGACTTTTCCCGACAGTAGACTTATTCCCGACAGTAGACTTTTCTCGACAGTAGACTTTTCTCGACAGTAGACTATTCCCGACAGTGGACTATTCCCGACAGCGGACTATTCCCGACAGCGGACTATTCCCGACAGCGGACTATTCCCGACAGCGGACTATTCCCGACAGCAGACTATTCCCGACAGCAGACTATTCCCGACAGTAGACTATTCCCGACAGTAGACTATTCCCGACAGTAGACTATTCCCGACAGTAGACTATTCCCGACAGTAGACTATTCCCGACAGTAGACTTTTCCCGACAGTAGACTTTTCCCGACAGTAGACTTTTCCCGGCAGTAGACTTTTTCCCGACAGTAGACTTTTTCCCGAGAGTAGACTTTTTCCCGAGAGTAGACTTTTTCCCGAGAGTAGACTTTTTCCCGAGAGTAGACTTTTCCCGAGAGTTTTGACTTTTTCCCGAGAGTAGCTTTTTCCCGAGAGTAGACTTTTTCCCGAGAGTAGACTTTTTCCCGACAGTAGACTTTCTCCCGACAGTAGACTTTTTCCCGACAGTAGACTTTTTCCCGACAGTAGACTTTTTCCCGACAGTAGACTTTTTCCCGACAGTAGACTTTTTTCCCGACAGTAGACTTTTTCCCGACAGTAGACTTTTTCCCGACAGTAGACTTTTCCCGACAGTAGACTTTTTCCCGACAGTAGACTTTTTCCCGACAGTAGACTTTTTCCCGACAGTAGACTTTTTCCCGACAGTAGACTTTTTCCCGACAGTAGACTTTTTCCCGACAGTAGACTTTTTCCCGACAGTAGACTTTTTCCCGACAGTAGACTTTTTCCCGACAGTAGACTTTTTCCCGACAGTAGACTTTTTCCCGACAGTAGACTTTTTCCCGACAGTAGACTTTTTCCCGACAGTAGACTTTTTCCCGACAGTAGACTTTTCCCGACAGTAGACTTTTTCCCGACAGTAGACTTTTTCCCGACAGTAGACTTTTTCCCGACAGTAGACTTTTTCCCGACAGTAGACTTTTTCCCGACAGTAGACTTTTTCCCGACAGTAGACTTTTTCCCGACAGTAGACTTTTTCCCGACAGTAGACTTTTTCCCGACAGTAGACTTTTTCCCGACAGTAGACTTTTTTCCCGACAGTAGACTTTTTCCCGACAGTAGACTTTTTCCCGACAGTAGGACTTTTTCCGACAGTAGACTTTTTCCCGAC